CATCCCCTGCTCCCCACCCCCATGGATCAAACCTGGCTTTCTCTGCTTTCCTTTTCCCTGCACTTTTCCCTAAATGCCAATAAAACCTTTTCTCAGTCCTGCACTTGGCTCCTGACGTCTCCAACCTTTCCAAGCAGCCCGCTGGGATCCTGCACAGTCTCAGGGGATTTCCAGCCCCTGATTCCCCGTTTGCTGCCTCATTTTTCCCTCAATTCCTCAAGTTTCAGATAAAGGGATAACCAGGATGTGCCCACCTGATCCCACAGACCAGAGCCAAAAGAAATTGGAGAGAAATTTAGGAAAACCCCTGCAGTAATTCCATTTTTGGTGTTAAATTATTCCAATTTAGCCTGGATCCAAAGAACCTCTTTGGAGTTAATTTAGTTCTAATTAATTACAGGGCAAGTGGGCCCCAAAAAAGCCCAGAAAGGCACAGAGGGAACAGCTCTGGATGGAGAATTTCACCTCTCCAGGGTATTCCTGGAGTCCCAGCACAGCCAGGGCTGGCACAGGGGACACATGTGACACAGCTATTCTCACTGAGAAATGAATTTAATTTAATTTAATTTTAAAATATATAATTAAAAATATATTATTTTTTAAATAGAATCATTTTAAGATAAAATAATTGGGAAAAAAATAAAATAGAATAATTTGAAAATACTTCTAAAATTGAAGAGTTTAAAAATTAAATACTTTGAAAATATAATGCAAAAGTAGGATAATTTTTAAATTAAATAATTTTAAAATTAAAAATACATTAATTTAAAAATCATATCATTCTAAAAATAAAATAAATTAAAAATATTTTTTTAAATTAAAAATTTCCCCCCTTGGTTTATTTCCAGCCCAAAGCATTCCCAAACTCCCTTGGGATAAAATAAATAAAATTATTTCAGTCTATCAGAAAGAGAAACAACTTCATAATTTTCACAGAGAGCACAAAAACAACACAAAGAAAGTGTCAGCACCTCGTTTATTCCCTGTTTGATTTATTCCCTGTTTACAGCCTGTGTCATCCCCATTCCCATGGATTTCCTTTTGGGAATTCTCTGGAAGTGGGAGGGAATTGATGGCAGATTTCACTTTCTGGGTCATTCCAAAGATATTTTGGGTTTGTTCCTAAAGCAGCTCCAGGAACCGTTTGTGGAAGCTTTTCCCTCTCTGTTATTTTCCCCTGCAGAAGGAAATATTAAATCCTCCCAAAATTAATAATAATTAATAAGTAACAATTAACAATTCCTTCCTGGAATCCTTCCTGGAATCCTTCCTTCCTCTGGAAGTTGAGGAACTTCCAGCCCATCTCTCTGCTTCCAGAGTGAAAAAGAAAACAGGAAAACCAAAATTGCCCAAGTGTAGGATCCCACTGATCCCAACTTTCCCTTTCTCCAGACCTTATTTCATTTTTCAGCCTCCTCTCCTTCCTGACAGCCCAAGGCAGCTTTTCCCACTCCATCCCAGGCTGGCAGGAGTCAAACTCCACTTCCCAAACCCCATCCATCAAATGTGATGGAGTTCTGCCCTGCCTGGGGAGGTGGCACTTCCATCCTTTCACAGCAATTCCACATCTTCTTCCTCACCCCAGCCTTTGTCCTTTTGGGGCGGTTCCGTGCAGGAAGAGGCTCCTGGATGGGTGGGATGAGCTAAGGCAGGAGTGGCCGTGCCCCTGTCCCAGCTGCAGATTCCAAACCTCCCGAGGGCTGGGGGAGCTCCTTCTCCTCTGGAATGTTCTCCCTTCCCAGCTCCATGGCCCCCAGACTCAGTCACACATCCCGGGGGGACACCAGAGCCCCCCGAGCCCCCAAAATGGGGAGAACCTCAGGGCCTTCCCAGGCTCTCCCTGCAAAGCAGCAGGGAAAAGGAGGAGCAAAAGGCACTTCCCAATTCCCTGCTGGCTCAGAAAAGGCTCTGCAAGGACAAGGGTGAAGGAAAATCCAGAGTGCAGGGAGGTGACAGGAAGGGAAGTGGAGGAACAAGGGCAGGGGTTCTGGGAGTGCAGAGCTCCACATCTCACCTGGCTGCTCCCACCACCAAAATCCAGGGATGTTATTTTTAAGCTTCCCTTATGACTAAAAAGGGACATTTCTGGATTTTGCCACTTTCAGGCCGGTGGCAGAGCCCAGAAAGGAGTCTCAGAAAAGATGGGAAAATTGAGCATAGGGAGGAAATGCTTTTTCTTTGTCTTATCCCGAATGCTCAGGGGTGGTTCATCCCAATTTATGAGATGCTCCCAGCACCACCATGGAGAGCATCCCTCTTGTACCAGTAAGAGACAGAAATTATCCAAAGGAGGATACCAAACCAGACCAAAACCCCGGCTGTGAGGAAGGAGAAGGTGCCAGATCAAGCAGGGAATGGTTTTGTACATTCAGAGTTTATATTTGGAAAAAAAAAGAGAGAGGAAGGAGAGGAGGAATTCGAGATTAAAAAAATAGAACTGATGGGAAGCGGTAGCGGAGCCTCCACCACTGCACAACAAACACACACACGGACACACGAGGCTGGACAACACGGACACCCCGGGCTGCAGCACCGGGGAACAGGAAACTCTGCATGGCTTTGTGGGACCCCTCGGTGGGAAACGAGCCGCTCACTCCTCCGTGTCTGCCTTGGCACATCCCTGAGTCACATCCCTGCTCCTCGACGGGGGCGTCGAGGCGCCTAAACGTGGGAACAGGGGGAAAAGAGGGAGAGTGTCAGCAGTGGGAAACCCAGAACAGAGACCCGGGAATTGGCCAGATGGGAAAAGGGATTTAAGGTCATCAAATCCAACCATCGACCACCATGTTCACCACTGGCCTTGTCCCCAAGTGCCACATCCGAGATTTTGGAACTCTTCTAGGGATGATGACTCCACCCCCGCCCTGGGCAGCTGTGCCCGGGCTTGGACAACCTTTCCATGAAGGAATTTTCCCCAGTATCCAACCTGAACCTTGCCTGGTCAACCTGAGGCTGTTCCCTCTCATTCTGTCCTTATTCCCTGGGAGCAGATCCCGAACCCCCCGGCTGTCCCCTCCTGTCAGGGAGTTCAGAAAGTTCCCCCTGAGCCTCCCTCTCCCCAGGCTGAGCCCCCCAGGTCCCTCAGGAGTTTTCCAGACCCTCCTCCCGCTGCTCCAGCCCTTCTCCTGCTCCATTCCTAGTCTGGAGATGCCCCAGCCCCTCAGTGCCTCTCTGGGTGTGGGGTCCCAGTCTGATCTCGGGATTCCGGGTGCAGCCCCCACAGCTCCGTGCGGAGAGGGGCCGCTCTCCATGGTCCTGCTGCTCCTCCCAGGAATGTGCCCTTTGCTCGGCCAAAGCACAGGGACGCCCTGGGATGTGCTGTCCCCACAGGGTCCCACCACAGCTGGGCCTTTACCTCTTTCCTCCTGCATTCAGAGCGTTTCTGTGTTCATGGTCAGAGCCTTCCACACCGTGGTCTTGGACATCTCGTCCGAAATGTTAATCTCGGAAGGATCAGCCCTGCAAGGAATATTCCACATGGTGCTGCATGAGGATGGGTCTGATCCCACCAGGAGCACTGGAACCAGGGGAACAGGAGTGCTTGGAAAATCGGAGCTCAGCTGGAGAGGATGGTTTGGCTGATGAGGAACTTTGGGAATCAGCCTCAGAACTGCAGACCCACAGCTCCTGTTTCCCCCTGTCACCTCTCAGGTGGGAGCAGGAGGGTCTCCAGATGCCAGAAAGCCACTGGTGATGCAGTTTTGGAATAAAACAGGAATTATGCAGCCACTGTGTGGGGTCAGAGCTGTGCCACCACCTCCTAAGTTGCCAGTAAATTGGGATTTTCCCACTAAGATGACTGGACATAAAGCTGCAAGTGGAGAAACCTGAGCCAGACACTTCCCACTGCTCCTGCCAGGGGTCCTGACCTGGGGGAGCTTTACCTGTCACTGCTGGGCTTTGGGGTGTCCACCCTGCTGGTCTTGCCCAGCTTCAGCTGAACAGAATTCGCAGCAGCCGCTTCCATCATTTTCTGGGACTCCTGAAAAGAGATGAATCAAGTTCTCTTTCCTTGATCCAAGAGGGAATCAATGAAATTCCAGTAAAAACCTGGCATGCTGCCCTCTCCTCTGACCCCTGGCACCTTCAGCAGCAGGTAAAGACCTTCCCCTGTGGGTGTGTCTGGGGTTAGTGACACTGCTGGGAACAAACCATGACAGAAATATCATTATTTTTATTATAAGATTCATTTAAAAATTATAACAATATCCCTGTTCAGGTGTGAAACTCCCTGACAGTTTAGAGAAAAAAGTTCAGAATGTGGGATCCAGGCTGTGAGACCTGTTTGATTCAGTTCAGATGTTCCCTCAACAGCTGTTACCCAGAGAAGCCGTGGGTTCCCATCCCTTCCTCCAGCCTGGAGGTGTCCAAGGCCAGGTTGGATGAGCTTGGAGCACCTGGGGACAGTGGGAGGTGTCCCTGCCCACAACAGGGGTGGCACTGGATGGGCTTTAATGTCTGTTCCCACCCAACCCATTCCATGATCCCACGATTCCAAGATTTAAGGATGAGCTGTGACATGAATAGGGAATCTGTCCTAGGTTACAATGTAAAGATGTGCCCAAAAGTGAGAATTCTGTCACCATCTGTCAAACCAGCTGGGGCAGTGATCCTGATCTCTGTGGGGAATATCTGCTGTTGATGGGCCAGGTGTTAAAATCAGGTGTTGCAGGGTTCTTTATCTTGCCCACAGCCCATCCTCCCTCCAGGAGATCTCTCCTGTTCATGGCCATGCAGTCCCAGGGCAGGGCTGATCAAATTCCATCATCCCACTGGGAGATGCTCCAGCCAGGGGCAGGAGCCAAGAATTTCCTACCCAGATAAAAACTGAGATTTGGAACACCAACCCCTTACCCACTGGGTTCCAGAGGACAAGAGCCACCAGACCTTTCTACATGATCACTGCTTCAACAGGAGCACCTCACCTGGACTGCTGCCACCACCCTAACCAGTGCAGTGCCACGCTGTGTTCTCACTCTGCCAGTGGTTTTTCTTTTGTACTATTGAATGTATTTGATTTTTTCCTATTAAATTGTATTTCTGACTTGGAGTCTCTCACTGGTTTTGTTTTCAAACCAGTACAGAATCTCACAGCCTAGAGGAGGTTTCCAGCTCCTGGCGTTACCTCCTCTTCTTTGGCTTCATTTTTGGCATCGTCCAACTTCTTCTTCTTGCTTTCTGGCATGAGGTCATCCAGGAAGCTGAGCTCCCGCTTGGAGAAGCAGAAATCCATCACTTTCCGGACAAAAACGAGAGCCAAAACCTTCAGGAAGGAAAGGGATGATGGGTGAGGCCAGAGCTGGTGCTTCCATTCCTGCAGGGCTGCAAGCACTGGGAGCACTGGGGAGCACTGGGAGCATCAGGAACCCTGGGAACACCAGGAATATCATCTCTCACTGTAGAGAGACTCACAGCTGCTCTGTGAGCCAGAGAGGGTTAATGGATAAGGGTTATTTCTGAAAAGTATTCTATCGAGGCCTGGAGACCAAGAAAAGAAGAAGGAGAAGATAAGCAAGAAGGAACCTGAGCTGGGAAAAGTAAAGTTTTGGGGGAAACAGAGGCATAGATTTTTACACCAATGAATGTTGTGTTGATCTATTGTAACCAAGGAGTGTAAACTTTGTAAAGTGTATAAAAGTGTAACAAATGGGATTTTAGCCTTCTGAGGTGTAGCGTGTCTATGTGTGTGTCACCCCCGCCCCTACAGCGACCTCTCACCATCATGGGGAAGATGATGGCAGCACGGGAAGCTTTGATGGCCCAGAGCAGCACGAGGCAGAGCAGCTGGATGAGGGTGAAGAGGTGCACCTTGCGCAGGGGCACGTGGCGCAGGTAAATGAAATCCGGCTGGTGCTTGGCCGGCATCCAGAACAGCTTCAGGCGGTCAAAGAACTGCAGGGAAAAGGGAGCACTACCAAAGCTCCTGGAGCTGCTGAGATGGGGAGTTTCCAGGAGCAAGGAGAAATCCAGGATCCTGTTCTGTTCCTCCTGGGAGCAGCACCTGTTTTCCCTTCGCGCCATCCAAAAACCACCTGGCTTTGCCCACCAGATTCCAAATTATTCCAGGTTTTTCTCTTGTCAGCATCTCTTGGCCCAGGGAATCCCCAGCAAGGATTCCCACCAGTGGAATTTTCTTCCCTTCACACCGAATTCCCCCAATTTCCCATCACCAAACACCAACCTGTTCTAAAGCCTGAAACAGAGAGCGCTGAGCTGGGCCCTGCCAGTGCTGAGCTGGGTTCTCCCAGTGCTGAGCTGGGCCCTGCCAGTGCTGAGCTGGGCCCTGCCACTGCTAAGCTGGGGCCTCCCAGCCCTAAAAACTTTCTGAGTTTCCACCCATCAGTCCCTGACACAGAACATTTGAATTTCCTGCTCTCAGAGACATTTTTTCCCATCCCAAGACCTTCAGGGAGAGGAAATTCCCCGGAGCAGCCATACCTGGATTCCTCGGAGTGACGAGACCCCCATGTACAGAAAGACCCCATAAAGCACTGGCATCGGGATAAACTGGGGAAAAATGCAATAATTAATGGCTTTACATTTCATTTGCAGTATTGACACTCTCTTTCACCACTCCTTTCTCAGGCACTGCCTGAAGATTCCCAGCTTTCCCATGTTGGATTTTATCCAGCACAGATTTTGTTCTCTGTGTCAGGCTGAGCTTTTGAGTAACATTTCATCAGAATAATCCTCTTTTCCAGAGAGGTTGGAGACAAAGAGGGGATTTCATCCATTAGGGCCACATTTCATCCATCTGAGACCTCCTGTGGGGGTAAAAAATGATCTCGAAAAACTCTTGTGGGAATGCATGGAAGTGACATCTCCTTTGAGCCTGGAATTGGGATTGAGTCCCTTTTGAGCCTGGAGTTGGGATTGTTTGGTGGGAAGAACAGGCAGGGAAGCCTGTGAGGGGAACTCTGAGGGTTCAGCTCCTGGGAATGGCTCTTATGAGGCTCTTGGGGAGGTGAATAAAGCCCTGCTTGTCTGAAAATGCTGAACTCTAACCCAAAACGGGGATGAGTGTGTTGCCATTTGCGTGGCAATGTCTGGGGAGCAGGGATGGCCTCCATGAGCTGCTGGAAGTTTCTTCCATGTCTGGCAGAGCCAACTCCAGCTGGCTCTAGGATGGACCTGCTGCTGGCCAGGGAGGGAGGGAGGGAAGGAAGGGAGGATTCCAGGAAGGAAGGAAGGATTCCAGGAAGGATTCCAGGAAGGAAAGATTCCAGGAAGGAAGGATTCCAAGAAGGAAGGATTTTAAGCTTTGGTTTTACTTCTCATGGTCCTGCTGTGATTTTGACACTAATAAATTCAATTAATATCCCTAATTCCAGCCTGTTTTCCCATGATGATGATTGGTGAGGGATCTGTCTCTGTTCTTATCTCAAGCCATGAATCTTTTTGCTCTATTTTCTCTCCAATCCAGCTGGGAAGGGCGGGGATAGACCAGCTTTGGTGAGATCCAGCCAGGATCCCTCTCACTTGTCTGGTGGACACTTGGGAATTAAGGGATTTGGATTGTTTGGGTCTGAAGGGCTGGGAAGTCACCGAGGCTGTTTCCCATCCTGGCTTGGGCATCACCTCCTGGGGGAGAGAGGCGCTGATTTCACATCCCCTCCCAAACTCCCGTGGGTCACCAGGTGGTTCCCATCCCGCTCTCACCTTGAGCACGAAGATCATCAGGCCGGTGACTCTCTGCTCCCGGATCCCCAAGAACTTGGGCTGCTCGCCCGGCGCGGAGCAGTCGGACTCCACTTTGAGGCTGTTCACGTGGGTGATGGACAGCACGGTGGCGGCCACGAACCAGGGCAGCCCCATCACCGAGCACACCCCGAGCATCACGGCCACCATGAACAGGTCCAGGTGGTACCCACAGCCTTTCTGGGGAGCAAAAATGGAACAGGGGACTCAGGGGACTCAAACCCTGCTCAAGCACAACTCCTGGGAAATGTAAATAAGGTTTGAAATAAGAACTGGAATCAAACGCAGATTTCACGTCTTGCATGAAAATCCGGCAGGATTAGACAAAGTGGGTCTGGAGGGTTTTATACCAATTTTTAAATTTATTCCTTTTTCATTCATGAAGGAATTCCCAGCACTTGCAGGTAGGACGTGGCTCTGAGTGATCCCTAGAGTTCATTGAGACCCCCACCCCAGCTGCCCCTGACATTTGGCAAGAACCCCACCCTTCCACATCATTCCAAGATTCTCTTGCTGCTCCCAAAAGTTGTCTTCCCCTCCCTGTGTCCAGCAGAGCTTCTGCCAGGCAGCCTGGTGTTATCCCAAACCTTCCCAAAGCGTTTGGGACAGGAGCTTGTCCCAGCCCTGCAGCCCGAGTGGGGTGGGGATGGGGTCACCTTGAGCCTGTGCTCCTTCCTGTTGACGATGACAGCCGTGATCTGCTGGTCCATGAAGATGAGGATGGTGCAGAGCAGGGCTGGGATGAGCGCAGCCAACACGGTCCACCAGGGGTTGGGCCCAATGGGGTTGATGAGCCACCCACGGTCATCCCTGGTGGGCTGCAACACGTGGTGGGATCAGCTCCCAGCCCCAACCCTTCCCTGGCCTCCACTCCCCTCCATCCCTGTGTCCAAGCATTTCCCAGCCCGGGCTTCGTGTCACTCTCTCCCAGGGGACTTGGCTGTGCCAGTGTCCTCTGTCCCAGAGTCCCCTCTGCCCCGGTTTTGGGGCTGTTTTCCCAAAAGACAGGAAGGAATTGGTGCACTTGGATGTGGCAGAGGAGATGCTCACACCACCAGCACCTCCTCCAGCCCAGCCCTGTGATTCTCCTGCTCAGTGTCTGGTTTTGGGGCTGCCTCCTGATTTCCAGGGGGGGATTGATGCTCTTGGATGTAGAAGAGGAGATGGTTCCACCATCAGCACCTCCTCCAGCCCAGCCCCGACCTGCCCTGACATCACCTGGTGGTACCTGAGGTGCCAAAAAGCTTTCTCCACCAATCCCCAACCCCGTTACCTTGAACATGTGGGGGACGTGGAGCTTGGGGGACGGGATCCCAATCCCGAGGTCGATGAGCACCATGATGACAATGGTGAGGAACACAGCGAAGTCACTCACTGTGGATCGGACCTGGGGCGAGAAACCGGGGCTGAGAGGGGCCAGACACGAGATGGGAAACCTGGGGACACCCACCATGCTTGGATTGGTTAATCCCTAAAATCCCACCGCTCCAAGGACATGCTCCCTTGGATGGGTATTGCTGCCACGTTGGAGATCTGGGGATCTGGTGTGGGAAAGTAGAAAAAGTTTAATTAGGGGGCAAATTCAAATTTTAATTCAGGCATTAACAAAAATGCTAAAAATTACGAAAGGTGCTACGCTTCTGGGTAAAATGGGAATAAGGCACTGAGGCATCATTCGTTCCTGTTTTTCCATGGCAACTCCTCATTTGAATGCCACTCCAGAAAACGATGCTCAGAAGGGGAAAAGAAATAAAAAACTTTGGAAGAGCTGATTTCCCATTGCCTGGGCCAAAAACATTGCTCTGGAAGAGGTCATGAGGCAGGTGGGGAATGCTACAACCTCTCTGCACTCATGGAAGTGAGGGAGGGATATCCCAGGTCAGCTTTTCCTGAGCGGTGGCAAATCCTGCAGTGCTCCAGGAACAGCATTTTGGGAAAGGAGATGGAGTCTGGCACAGGCCACCACCTTCTACCTACTCTGGTAGGGAAGTAACGGCTGGTTTTAAATTTCTTCAACAAACTCGACAGGACAAAGGTGGAGAAGAAGAGGATGCAGCACCAGAAGAGGACGTTGGGCGCGTAGGGGCCGTTGTGTCCACAGGCAGGTCCTTGGAACTCCCCGTGCAAAGAGCGACATTCCTGGAGAAACAGAGCACCGGGACAGGGAGGAAAACTGGGATAATGGGGAGGGGGGTGTTGAGGGTCTTGGTGCAAGGTAATGGGCAGCAGTGGCTGAACAAGTGACACACGGAGCTGGAATTGCAGAGGGGAGCAGAGGTGGGGTGGGGTGGGACACCATGGACCCACAGCACATCCTCCACTCCACCATGGCTGAGCAAAACACTGGAGAGGAGGGAAAAGCTGGAAATTTGTGGATAAAGAGGGAACAGGGAAGGAGGGCTGGGACAACCATGGGATGGAAAAAGAGACAAATCGTCCCTTTGCAGTCAGAGCTCTCAGGACAAGGCCAAAAGGGGCTGGAGATGTCCCAAGGAGCTCCTGTCCCATACCTGAGCTCTGCTCCCAGGGACAGTCCCTGTGGGGCTGCTCAGACATGCAAATTCACTCAAGACCCTACAGACAACAGGGCCCAGAGTCATTAGGAAGCAATTAAGGGAGCCAATCACTGCCTTCAGGCAGGAACTTCAGTCCTGCAAATGCTCCAAGAATCAAAGCACTCAACTTTGATCGAGGTCCCACAGCCCAGCTGAGTGGGACAGTTCTTATCCCCAGGGCTGGGGACAAAGTGAGCTGGACCAGGTGGGATGGGCAAGGTGAACTCTCCCTCCCAGGACCAAACAGGTTAACAGTACTCATGAGACTTAAGCAGGGACTTCCCAGAGCACTTTGAAGCCCAAAGCCACCTGAAGATGGTGGCTGTGAACGCCCCTGGCCTCCCCTGGCCTCCCTGAGGAATTGGTGGCCAAAGGCACTTACGGTCACTGTGAGGTTTCCCCAGGTGATTCCCGACACGTTGATCCCATTGCTCCGCCAGAAGCGCAGGGTTTCGTTGCTGGGATGAGCCGGGGGCTCACACTTACAGCTGGAGGAGGGAAACCAGGACAGGGCTGAGGGAACAGCACCAGGACAGCCCAGAGGCAGCTGAGGGGTGAGGAGGAAACACAACACCCACTAATAGATGGTGAGGAGGTCGAGCTTGCTGTGCATGTGCACGGGGAAGGTCTCCCGCAGGTGGCTCAGCTTCTCCAGGGCCTCGTAGATGAAGATGATGCAGATGAGGGAGGCGAAGGCCTCCTCGGTGAAGCGGGTGATGTAGCACACCAGGCAGCTGGCGTCCGTGGCCACCAGCACCACGCAGAAGAACGCGGTCCAGAGCCCGATGCACGTCCGCAGGGACAGGTAGGAGAGCTTGTATTCCCTGGGAAACCACAAAAACTCCTGGGGAAAGGCCAGCACTGGCCTTGGAGCCAAGGCTTTCTCCAGAGAACATGAGGAGCAATGTGGGAGCGTGTGGAGGTTGAAGGTGGCAATTGAGGCTTCCATGTCTTTGAGGTTGCAGGGTGTGGGTGGAGAAGCCAAGTGTTTAATTAGCATTAATTAATGTTGTCTTAATGCCTTGAAGGCTGATGGAGGTTGTGAAGATTCTCTCACATCCCCCAGAGCCCTGACACCCAAACCAGCTGGGTTTGCCCCAGTCACCCACAGCCAGCTTGGGGCTGAGTGAGAAGTTTAATTCCAGTGAGGAGAGTTAATCTCACACCAAAGTCACCAGGAGGAAAAGACTGTCATAGAAAAGAGCTATTTCCCAGGAAAAGCTCCTACTTATTCAATAATATCCCCAAAACTCAAAATATTCCAAGTGAAAATTACATGGATATTTGGGCAAAATCTATTTCATCTTCCAGCAAAAAACAGGTTTAAAAGTTTTGTACTCAGTGGAAAACAAATCCTCCCTCATTCCCAAACCTGAGTGATTTTTCTCACCTTCCTTGGGCATCCATCCAGAGCCTCTGGTTCCTCCTTCTCCTACTGCTTCATTTTAACCCTAAAATCTCAAAATTACCCCAAGCCAAAAACCCCAAATGACCCCCAAGCCCAAGGGCTCTCACGCTTCCAGTGTGACAGCAGCAGCATGAGACCACTGTGACCCAGCAAATCTGACAACTCCCACCGAGAAAATGAGAACAAAAACATCTTCTCCCTGCCCAAAAAAAGAAAAAATTTCCCCCCTCCCCAAAAAAAAATAGAAGAAAAACATCTCACTTGCAGAATTTGTAGAGAATCTTCTCAAAGACCAGGACAGGTCCAGTGCTGCCAAGGATGGTGAGGGGCTGGCCAGCAAAGAGAGAATAAACCACGCCTGTCATGGATGCTCCCAGCAGTGACTCCATGGCACTCTGAAAGGGAAGAGAGGGAGCAGGGAGTAAATAAATCATGAGGGATAAAAACCCCCCCAAAAAACCTAAAGGAAGTTCCCAGCAGCCAAGAGATTTCAAAGATTACAGAGAGGGTTGGGTTGGAAGGGACCAACGGGTTGGGTCGGTGGGGACTGGTTTGGGCTCCACACACTCCCCATGGGCAGGGACAATTTCCACCAGGCTGGGGGGTCACTCTGGGGCGTTTCCCCCTCCCCACGCTCCCGACAGAGAGAGGAGCTCACGATGTGGCCGTGGGTCGCCTCCCCCAGCAGTCCCCCGAAGGTGATGACAGGGGACATGCAGGCACAGTAAAGGAACAGGAAGGACGCCAGGCACTGCAGGCTCAGACCGTCCCGAAAGTCGCTCCAGAACCACGGGGCTTTGCGCTTCACATCCAGGACCAGACCCCCAAAGAGCCTGCAGGGAGGGAAACCAGGCTGGTCTCTTGGGAGAGCTCCTTTGGTGTCCTTTGTGCAGAAAATGCAGAAACGCCTGGACGTGTTTCCAGAACTGCCCCCGCCCCAAAGTCAGGAAACCTGAGTGTGCTGATGCTGGGGCTGGGCTCACCTGCCCAGGTGTCCCCCCTGCCCAGATCTCCCACCTTCCCAGACCTCCTCCCTGCCCAATCTCCCACCTCCCCAGATGTCCCCTGCCCAGCCCAGGGGAGCAAGGTGGCAACGTGGAGCCCTTTCAACTGATCCAAGTGACCCCAAAAGCTGCTGGAAAGGGAGGTGCCTGCTTAGATTTTGGGGGCAAAACAGAAGAAGGCCCCAAACCAGGAGAGCTCCCACCTCCCAGTCCGCTCCAGTTCAGGGCCGCTGTGTTTCTCTGGTTTGCTGTGGGAAGAACTCTCATCCAGAGCTCCTGGCATCTTCCTCTTTTCCTGTGGACATGGAATTCAACTCAAAACAGGTATTCTTCAGGTGTATTATCAACCACCAGCTGGTTTTGTTCCTGGCCTGGGTGTGGCTGTGCCAAACCAGGAATTCCAAGTTTACCAGAATTTGGGTTGTTGTTGCAGCACCCACCTGGGAGGGGACGTTTTTGGGGGGCTCGATTCGGATGGATGGGTCCCACTCTCCTGGCGGCAACACCGTGACCTGATCCAGGAACTCATCAATGCCAGCCACGAGGTCAGCCCGGTCCTTGGCTTTGTAGGCAACATCGTGGAAAACCTGCCCAGAGGAGACTCCCAGGTGAGAGCACAACCCATCCCAGGTGAGGGCACAGCCAGCCCCAGGTGAGAACACAACCCACCCCAGGTGAGGGCACAACCCGCCCCAGGTGAGGGCACAACCCATCCCAGGTGAGGGCACAACACACCCCAGGTGTCCTCCCCAGGGCAGCTCCCCTCTGGCTATGCCAGGATCACCTTCCCCAAATCTCCTGCTGGAAATGTCCCCCCAGCAGGAGGAACCCGGGCACTGTGGTGCTGTGATCATCTCCTCCATGAGGTCACTCCCTCATGGCTTGGAGGAGGAGAAGTTCCACCACCCTGGCAGTGCCACCCCTGGGATGGGGAAGCCCTGGATGTGGGAAGGGTGAGGTGAAGGAATCCCAGTGGGATTTCTGCCCTGCCACACTGAAGGTGTTGTGTTAAAGGAGAGAAGTTCTGGCCCAGGAGATGCCACCACTGGGGACAATGTCCTGGGTACCCCGTAGGGAAGGATGGGGTGTAGGATGCACCCAGGGGGAACTTCAGCCCCCAGGATTTGGGGTGATGTAAATCTGCCTGGTTTGGGGGTGAGAATGAAGGGCTGGGACAGCAAATCCTCTTCCTCACTGTTCCAGGGACAGGGAATGGTGAAGAACCCCAAAAGTGACCTGGAGATCCCCCTTATCTGTCACACCTCATCTGTCATGGTGGTGGCCATGGACCTGCCGATCTCGTGGTACTGATGGGCTTTTCCTCCTGGCCCCAGCAGAACAAACAGGAACCTGGGCAAGGAAAACCAAACTGAGAGAGGGGAATGGGGCTTCACTCCAAGAGCACCCCGGGAAATCCCTGGGACCTCAAAGGGGAACGTGTTGGTTCCCTGCCTCCTCCAGGGGCTGAATTGTTCACCAAAACCAATCACAAATCTCATTTGGGGGCCACTTTCATTAAAATTGGTCCATAGGTTCCAAAGATCCAGCAGGGAAGGGAGGAAGGTGAGGAGTGCCATGGCAGAAATGTGCAGCTCCCACTTTTTCCCTTGGGTCCCAAATCGTGGGGCAATTTCAGGTGGGTTTGGGGTTTGTTTTTTTAAATAAAAACTTTGTGTTTCTCCTTCAGACCTTGTTGGGATGGGAACTTCTGTCATTCCCGACAGGAGCACAGCTGGGGTGAGGCGGACAAAGGCCACGAGGGGCTGGTGGAGGAAATCCAGCTCTCCCACCAGCACGTTGGACGCCTCCGCTCCGCTGGGAATCTTCTTCATGAAGTGCAGCTCCGCCTGGGCAGGACCAGCCATTCTTAGGGAATCCCCCAAAAACAAAACCCTCAGGGCCCCCCTGGAGGTGTGGGAGAGGTGCAGGGGTCTCACCTTGCTCAGGTCCATGGCACTGGTCTCAGGGGTCACCCCGTTTTTAGCTTCTGCAGTGGTGGGAGAAGGGTGAGGGGTGAGGGTTTGGGCTGGGAGGGAAGAGAAAGACACTCAGAAAGGAAGGAAAGGAGGAGCTGGGGTGTTTGTTATTTGCCAGAGCAAGTCTAATGGGGGCAAATCCACCCAGAAACCCCCATGTGGTGCCAAAGCCTGGAGAAATCCTCAACTGGTGTCAAATCCCTGGAGAAACCTTCACCTCAGGCTAAAGACAGGCAGAGGACCTCACCTGGAGCTAAAGCCCCAGGAGAAAACTTCACCCAGTGCAAATTCCTGGAGAAAACTTCACTTGGTGCCAAATCCTAATAAAAAACTTCAGCTGGTGCCAAATCCTAATAAAAACCTTCCCCCGGTGCCAAATCCCTGGAGAAACCTTCACCCGGTGCCAAATCCCTGGAGAAACCTTCACCCAGTGGCAATCTCCTCCAGAAACCCTCACCCAGTGCTAAAAAACCAGCAGGAACCCTCACCTGGTGCCAAATACCTGGAGACACCTTCACATTGTGGTCAAGTCTGGCAGAAACCTCCAGCTGCTGCTAAAACCTGGCAGACACCTCACCTGGCTCCAAACCCCACAGAACCTCACCTGGCTCCAAACCCCACAGAACCTCACCTGGTTCCAAACCCTGCAGAACCTCACCTGGTTCCAAACCCTGCAGAACCTCACCTGGCTCCCAACCCCGCAGAACCTCACCTGGTTCCAAACCCTGCAGAACCTCACCCGGTTCCAAACCCCACAGGACCTCACCTGGCTCCCAACCCCGCAGAACCTCACCTGGTTCCAAACCCCACAGAACCTCACCTGGTTCCAAACCCTGTGAACCTCACATGGCTCCCAACCCCGCAGAATCTCACCCAGCTCCAAACCCTGCAGAACCTCACCTGGTTCCAAGCCCCACAGAACCTCACCTGGTTCCAAGCCCCACAGAACCTCACCTGGTTCCAAACCCTGTGAACCTCACATGGCTCCCAACCCCGCAGAACCTCACCCGGTTCCAAACCCCACAGAACCTTACCTGGTTCCAAACCCCACAGAACCTCACCCGGTTCCAAACCCCACAGAACCTCACCTGGCTCCCAGCCCTGTGAACCTCACCTGGCTTCTCAAGCAGGTGCAGGTCCTGTTTCTTGCTGACGTCGGCGAAGGAGCGCACGATGGGCAGCAGGTTGTTCCTCTTCCTCTCGTTCTGGTGGTGGTGCTTCTTCAGCAGCACCTCCCGGACCTTGGCCCGCGTGCGCTCGTCGAACTCTGGCGACGGCTCCTGCTGGGCCAGGATCAGGTCTGGGTGCGACAGGGACAAGGTCAGAGCGTGAACCTGCCCTGCCAGAGCCACCCTGCCTTCAAAGCCCTGAACCCCAGGGTGTGAAGGGAAAATGAAATCAATGTAATAATGTGAGGAAATGGCCTGGAATCGTTATTGAATGAGGGTCAGCTCTTAGGGAGAGCCAAAGGGCCAGGTCCTGAAATACTCAAAAATGTGCAGGACATTCTCCTTTATTGCTGTAGAACATTCTCCTTTTGCTGCAGAATATTCCCCTTTTTTGCTACAGGACATTCTCCCTTTTACTGCAGAATATTCTCCTTTTCTCCTGTAGAACTTTGTCCAGTTGCTCTCTAACCCAAAACCCGTTTCCCAACGGACCCCACATTGCCAGCAAGAGCTGCACACCCAAACCCCACTCTCATCCTAGAAACCACACGGGGGCAGCTGCAATCCCCGATGCCTGGGCAGGATTTTGGGGACCAGGTTCCCCCGGTACCGGCGATGTCCTCGATGCTGGTGGCGTGCACGTCCAGCAGCACCGTCCCGTTGATGATGCAGCTGCGCAGCTCGAAGAGGCTGTGCAGGGACAGCGTGGCCACGTAGGGTTTGCTCCAGCGCTCGCCCCCATCCTCCACGTCCTCCTCAAACTTCAGCCACCTGTGGGTTTGGGGTGGGATCAGCCAGAAACAAACGGCTCCAGCCCGGCAAGCCCTCGGATGAAACCGTGGGGTGGCTGGAGGAAGCTCCTGCAGCTGGGAAAGCTCCATAGCCCAGAGAACAGGGACTCCTCTGCCACCACAGCTGGCAGCAGGATCATGGAATATCCTCAGCTGGAAGGAAGGGACCCACAAGGGTCACAGAGTGCAACCCCTGGCCCTGTGCAGGGCACCCCAACAATCCCACTGCGAGCGTTGACCCTGACCTCTGAAATCATGGAATATCCAGAGATGGAAGGGACTTATCACAGGATCATGGAAACTCTGGAATTGGAAGGGACCCACAAGGACCATCAAGTCCAACTTCTGGCCCAGGACAACCCCGAAAATCTCACTAATCCCCAAATCTCAATGTCCAAGCATTCCCTGACCTCTAGAACCATTGAATCTCCTGAGTGGGAAGGGACCCCCAAGGATCATCAAGTCCAATCCCTGGCCCTGCCCGGACACCCCAAAATCCCACCCTGTCTCAAAGAGCTTTGTCCAAACGCTCCTGGAGCTCTGGCAGCCTTGGGGCTGTGACCTTTCCCTGGGGAGCTGTTCCAGTAGGGGAAGAACCTTTTCCCAGTATCCAACCCCTCCTAGCTTCCTGCCATTCCCAAATCCCAGGGATTTACCTGGCTGTCTCTTTCCACTCAGCATCTTCCCCCTCCTTCACGCAGATCTCATCCAGCTCCGTGAACAAGTCGTGGGGGACGTGCTGCTCATCCTCTTCCGTGCCCAGGATGAACTGGACCCGCTGGGATGGGGTGTCTGGGGACAGGAGGAGATTCCCAATCCCATTACTGAGCCTGGGTCCCTCCCAGCACGCCCACATTCCAGTGGCATCACACCGGGACCAGTCCAGCCATAAATGCTGGCCTGGCCCCTCTCCCTCAGCTCCCACAGAGCCCCGGGGAGGTGGAGCCTCCATCCCATGCTCCGTTAGGATGGGATGCTTTCCTTCCCCACGCCTCCCGTTTTACACCAGGATCCCTAAATCCATTATGGATTTAACTCCAAAGCCAGAGAAAAGTTTGGGGAAAGGGGAGTCTTGCCTTTAAAAACCACTTCTTGGTAAAACAGCCACACAAAATATCCATGGGGACCTGGCTGGGAAGTCTCATGGTGGCCACTACAGCAGGACTTTACATTGGTATCCCTGCAGGATTTACACTGGTATCCCTGCAGGACTCACACTGGTATCCCCGCGGACTCACACTGGTTTCCCTGCAGACTCACACTGGTATCCCTGCAGACTCACACTGGTTTCCCCGCAGACTCACACTGGTATCCCCGCAGACTCACACTGGTAATCCCTGCAGGATTTACACTGGTTTCCCCGCAGACTCACACTGGTATCCCTGCAGACTCACACTGGTATCCCCGCGGACTCACACTGGTATCCCTGCAGGATTTACACTGGTATCCCCGCAGACTCACACTGGTATCCCCGCAGACTCACACTGGTTTCCCCGCGGACTCACACTGGTATCCCCGCAGACTCACA